ATAAAACATGTATTCTGCGAATTTGAGTGCTAAAAATTGCTGATCACTCGTGTTTTCCTATGTTGCTATGTGCAGATATGAGTGTTTATGTACGTAAGATAATCATCACGATTGCGGTTTGTGTTTATGTGTGTGTGTGTATGTGTGTGAATGAATCAGAGGTGATATTAAGAAAACAAGATTTGTGAAGTTTTTAAATGAATTAATAAATACATCGTCGATAGTGAATGAAAACTGAGAGCAAAACGAAGGAACAGCGAAATTCGTGTTCATTGATTTGAATATGATGCATTCGTTTATTCGTCGTGCTCATCAACGGAATGTCACGATTCATTGACGTCGTTCTCCTGTTAGTCATCGTCACGACTGCCATTCATAATGCAAATTTACAGTCGGTAAGTTTTTTGTTTTGGTTTACCTTGCTTAAATCATGTCTCAAAATTGACCTTTCTAGGTAAAATTTTAGCCGGTTCAATCCACTTGGCTCATTGTGATGATAGATGAAGTTATTTTCCGTAAGGTTATTGCGTTCCTTTCCAACATTACACGACTCGGCTCATCGCATTGACAATATGATTGCCCTGACTTAGGCGATGAAATAATCTTTGAAATGGGCATCAATATCTAAATTTTATGCCCTCACTGAATTCTTGTATATTAATCTTTAGTCGTTTTGGAAACTCGAAGATGCACTTGAAATTCCGGAAATATCTTGCGAGAACCTGCGCACGATACAATAACTCATCGTGAGCTACAGCACAATGATGAATTCAGTTGTTAGTTTCAGCTTGATTATGATTATTNACAATAACTCATCGTGAGCTACAGCACAATGATGAATTCAGTTGTTAGTTTCAGCTTGATTATGATTATTTGGATCGAGAATTCCGCAGGACAATCCCTTTCCAAGGCATCGTTCGAATGCCAATGTCGGATATCGGTGCCCAGCAACGTGCTCAATTGTCGATGATCGCCACCAATTCTGAACCGTTCTTCGATCGTCGTTCACAGTGGTCCCGCTATGAGCCTCCTCAATCAACTGTCAACCAAAAAGAGACGATGTGGTGGAAAAGTTGGCCAAGACAATTACCGATCTCAACAATCCCATCGTCACATGTTAGTGGCATGGGATTGCCCTCACAACCAGTCGTGCCCTCAATGATGGTCGTTCCTATTGAACCGGTCGTAACCCAGCCATCCATCCTGAACTCAGCGCTTATGACTGTCTTCGGCAATGCTAGCGATAACGGAGGGACTACGGCCCAAAAACCACTGACGGCATTTCTGAACTCATTTCCAGGTGAGCGATATTTTTTACAATGCAATTTTATGGGCGGAATGAGCAGGCAGGCGTTCAAGATGCTCTACTTGTATGTTTGATGAGCATGAGCC